CTCCTGGCTGTAAGGAGAACCCCTAGCCTACACCAGCCCATGTACTACTTCCTATCCATGCTGGCCCTCAGTGATGTGGGTCTCATCTTGTCCACACTGCCCACCACCCTGGCTGTACCTTGGTTCGACTATCGTTTCATTGGTTTCAATGCCTGCCTGGTACAGATGTTTTTCCTACACTCTTTCCCTGTGGTGGAGTCCTCAGTTCTCCTGGCCATGTCATTTGACCGCCTTGTGGCCATCTCCAACCCTCTGCGTTATGCAGCTGTCCTCACAAATAATGTCATTATCAGGATTTGGGTGGCCATTGTAGCTCGAGCAACATTGTCTCTCTTCCCAGGGCCCTTCCTATTGAAGCGACTTAACTATTGCCCTGGCAGGATCCTCCTGTCACACTCCTTCTGCTTCCATGCTGATGTCATGAAGCTGGCCTGTGCCGACATTACTGTCAACATCCTCTATGGACTCTATGTGGTTCTCTCCACTGTGGGTATAGATTCCTTACTGATTGTTCTGTCCTATACCCTGATTCTTCATACAGTGATGGGACTGGCCTCTCCCAAGGAGCGCATCCGGGCTCTCAACACCTGTGTTTCTCATATCCTAGCTGTCCTGATTTTCTACATCCCAGTCATAGGAGTGTCCATGATCCATCGTTTTGGGCGGTACCTGCCCCATATTGTACATGCTCTGGTTGCCTATGTGTACCTGATGGTGCCTCCTGTGCTGAACCCCATCATCTACAGTGTCAAGTCCAAGCCCATGGGGGGGGCAATGCACAAAGTGCTAAGTAGGAAAGGACAAGGCTGATCAACTCAAACTACATCAGAATTCTGAGTAAAATTAAAAATACTGTAACGAACACTGGTAATGCTTAGACACAGTGAGGTAGTGGGAAGACCATTTCTGTTATAAATCTGCTTAGTTCTTATTTTGTAAAGACTCAGTGATGAGGATTAAAGACTGATAAATACATGAAACATGTTCCTTTGTTTCCAGAATCTTACAACTTATGTCAGGAAAAGTGCCTATGAAGATACAGCCATACTGTACACCAAAAAGTATCATAATAAATCTTTGTGCAAGAAATTACTAGAAAATACAAATAATAGTTCACAGAACTTGCCTGCAATTAGGAAGCTTACACAAAGAGAATAATTTTTATTTAACTTCCAAAAAATGGTTTTTCTGGGTCAAGCAGAAATTGAGTGACAAAGAGAAAAGTCAGGCAACATGGAAAAAAGGTTTCCGCATTGTTAAGTAAATGTGTCCATGGAATGAAAGTACACTTCATTCCTTTATGTCTCTAAAGCTTATTAGATCACATATGACTGTGGCACAGTACTTGAAGAAGGGATGGGGAGGATGATGCCAGAAATGAAAGTGACTGACTTGCAAAGGAGTGCACGTAAAATTTTTTCCTTTCATTTATACTTAGTAAAGATTATTGATTTTTAAATGTTTATTAAATATTCTATTACATAATAAGTTAATTGTGTGAATTATAGATTGGAGGTGTGTTGGCTATATGTGCCAGGCTGGAGCAAGGAACACTAATGATTAGAAGTGTTTATCAGGACCACCACTCTGTCCCACAGCACCAGTGAGAGAAAATAAAGGAAACGCGCTTTGGGTCCTGGAGAAAGACCATATGGTTATTGTTAAGAGATTTTGTATCAACTAAAGTTTCTGTAAAGTCGGGTTCCCTGCATCATTCTTTTATAGCCCAATCCTCCCTTACATGTTACACCTTATTAACTTTTTTCCATAAATGTTCATGATTAAGTGAACAAACGTGTTGATCAAGTGATATGGTGCCGTTTGCCTCAGCACAGACTCTTCTTCTTACCTAATTCAGCGAAGGCATTTCTCCAAGAGACCTGTCCTCCCTTGAACCTGGCAGTGTCCACATCAAAGCCTGATGTTGACACCTGCATTTTCTTCTATGTCCAGTATCAGATCTCTCCACACCTACGTTCTACACTTTAACTTACTTAGAGTTAAATGTCCGCTATCCCTCTTGGTTCTCTTAGAAATGTAAAAGGCACGACCACAGTTTTGTTGTGCATCAGCTCTACTTCCTTTGTGTCAGTTCTAGGATGAAAAGAGTCTATAAGTTTCTATGGAAGATTTTTGGCTCTTGTCTGAAACCCTAAACCAATGGTACAATGTGGTTCGTTCCTAAATCCTAGTCTTTCATCTGCAGAAGCTGAGACTCAAGCAAAAGAGGTGCCTCTCCTCATGTATGTCCACTATGCCCAATGGAGTCTTACTGCAACTTAATTTACAGATTGGTATATGACCGTTTAACTTTAGATACAGCTCAATTACTCAGCAGTCTCACTAAACTGATCCAGTTGTAAAGTTGTATTAAAAAGTCTGAAAACACTAAAGAATGAATAGATTTGGGGAGTATAGTTCATAAGAAGCTTCGTTTGAAAAATAACAAATCCATAAACTAGATTGAGGACTGAGACAAAGGACGTCTAAGGTAAAAGGGTGGCCCCTTAAGAGACATATAACAAACGTTAACATATGCTAACTTCCCTTGTAAGAAGCAGCATGCCCCCTTCTTCCTAGCTTATGTGCCAGACCCTTTCAGTGAGCATCAGTGAGTCTCTGTGAACTGAATCAACAGAAATCTGGTCTGTCTATTCAGTCTTTCCTGTTATGCTTTGATGCTTTTTGTATTTAGTGTTTGTTGAGAAACATAAGGAAGGAGATGGTGATGATGATGGTGGGGGGCATATGCCTGTGATCCCAGGACCTGGGAGGTGGATGCAGAAGAATCAGGAGTTCAAGGTCATGCTCTGCTACATATCAAGTTTGAGGCCACCTCCGGTTCCATGGGATCCTTTCTCAAAAAAATAAATCATCAAAAATAAAATCTACACACACACACATACACACACACACACACACACACACACACACACACTTTTATCATATACC